CAGCGATCATGGCCCCCGGTCGCTGCGCGGCCCGGTGCCAGGTACTCCACGGCCCGGCATTGGTCCGTGGACCGGGGATTGGGGACCACTGATCTAGAATATATGAAGGCACTTCAAATCTATCATTTTATCATGCTTGGTGAATATGTAAGAAAGCTAAAAAGTTTTGGATTCAAATACATATTTTTATACAGAGTTTTTTGAAATAGTAATTTTCAGTTGAAGCCAGAATTTTTACTTTTAGGACTAATGAATATACAGAAAAAAGCCCAGAAGGTTATTTTAGTATATTATTATTATGGCAAGATTAGTACTTATCCATAAATTCAGAAAGATAAAATGCTACCCACTATGGAGGAATAGCTGACAAAATTGAAGATCTTTCTTAGAGGGGTAAACTAATTTATTTGCTTACAGAAAAAAGAACATCTACATTTATTGGTGCCCCCCCCCAAAAAAAAACCTATGGACTCTTTTTGCATAAAATTGATTAGAAAGGACACATTGTAGAAAGAAGGGAATAAGTAAAGAGAAATATTAAGATATAATTGTATTTAGAACTGCTGTGAAGAATATTGGAAGTCTGTTTGTATCTTTTTCTTTCCCTTCTATTTTTTTACTTTTTTCTTTTCTTACACTGTGTCTTTGATTCCTTTCCCTTTTCTTGCTTTCTTTATATTTATATTAGATTGATTTTTTAATTTTTCTTTAAAAAGGTTTAATAAAAAAGTTATGGTATATATTTTATATACCTGTATTATATAAATTATATAGGTATAAATATTATAAATAAAATTGATCATCTTTTAAGTCTATTCTGACTAACTGCAGTTTGTAAGGGCTACTGGTTGTAGATTTTATAACTAACAGCTTTTGGAGGGGAAATTGGGATAATAACATCCTGCATTCACAATACATGCAATCCCCACAGAGCAGAATGAAAGACTTAATGCTTCACTTCTGTGTTTCTTTTAGGAGCAAAAGCCTGCCTTAGGCTTAACTCAGAGAGCCAGAGCAAGTATGAAGAATTCTTGTTTGTTTTAGTAAAAGCTTTGCTTTGTTTTTTTCTCAGGCTGATCTTGTCTAGTCTCCAAAACTAAGCACGTTTGGGCCTTATCAGTACTTCGATGGAAGACTACCAAGTATATCATGGCTATAAACTGGTTTAGAAAAAACAAAAATCATCCTGGAAGAGTCAGTGAAAAACCACTTCCTCTATTATTGCAAAATAAACTATATGCATGAAGTCATCAGGATTCAAGAATAATCCCAAGGATACTTCATTTTTGTCCAAATACTTTATTTTTGTTCTGGTGAAAATGAGAGTACATTAACTCTTCACACTAGAATTATAGGCAAGCTTTTCTAAAAGATCCTCTAGGTTAGGGGTCTCCAACCTTGTCAACTTTAAGCCTGGCGGACTTCAACTCCCAGAATTCCCCAGCTGGCTGGGGAATTCTGGGAGTTGAAGTCTGCCAGGATTAAAGTTGACAAGGTTGGAGACCCCTGCTCTAAGTGACTAGTACGACCTAAAGGACAAGGACAGAATTTGGGATATAAATAATAGATAGGCTGACCAAATGGTATCCAGAGCATGCCTGCCAGATCTGATGGGATCGGTGATGCAATCAGAGAGAAGGTCCCTTAAATAACTTTATTTTATTGTTTGTTTGTTTGTTTGATTTCTTTATTTCTGCAGCTCATGGATCAGCAATGTGTACAGATTCTGTAATTGCCTGAAGCCCTGCATTCTGCATCATGGATGGAAATAATTTTTCACTTCCAATCTTTTACTTCTCCTATTTCTTGATGATTCTCCTTTTAGGTAGGAGGATAAATATTACTGAATGTTTTTCACAAAATCAACTTGCTCAAAATATTTATTTAAAGTATTTTTCTTTTGGTAAAGGCCTTATCTCTCATCAGTTAAAATAATACCATTAATTGAATACAGTAGTTTCACCTACTGTTTAATTATATTTTTAGATTTGAATCCCATCTTTTCTCCAGGAGTTCAGAGTGATTTAGGTAGACATTTCTCTTCATTTTATCTCTACAGCAACCCTGTGAGGTAAGATGGGCTGAGGAAGTATGATTAGCCAAAGTCATTCAATGAAGGTTGACTTGAATTGTGATTCCTTGAATCTTTGTCCAATACCTTAACCATTACTACAAATGCTCCAACTTTTTAAACATGAGATCAGATACTTCATTTAATAGACCACAACACATTTAATAAATAATAAATGAGACTACATAGTTCATTTAATAAAAATGGAATTGTACCATTGTTATATAAAATTCCAATATTAGGTATATTCTGAAAGAATTTGACATAGGAGAAATGATTTGGAATTTGGAACTGATCAATTGTGTTTTATTTAATATTTTATAAAGTGAGAGAATCAGTACAAGGTGCTAGTAATATCTCTTACAGTGAACTATATGCAAAACATGATCTTCCATGAGAGGAAGATTAAACAAGTGACATTATGTATTTCATGACATCATTGCACATAATCAAATATAAGCACATAATGACGTGACTTTTATTGAATGCCTAAATAAGTTAGTATCTCATTTGTTTTTGATTTAGTATACATATGGACCCAGTCACTATGGTATTTAGTGTGATTTATGGTTTATTACTATTTGTGGCAATTCAACTATATTCATTTGTATTTAATGTAGCTTATTCAATAACTTACAATTAACCTAGGGGTGAGCAACCCATGGCTCTGGAGCCACATGTGGCTCTTTCATCCCCCTGCTGCAGCTCCCTGTCACCAGTCAGCTCCATAATTGATAGAGCTTTTGGTTAGGACAGGTAAAAAAATAAGAATACTGTGCTAGGAGGAGAACCGGATTTCCGGTCAGCTCCAGAATTGAATGGGGAGCTTCTGGTTAGGACCTTTGTGGCTCTTTGAGTGTTTAAGGTTGCTGACCCCTGAATTAACCAAACACATATGACATAATATATAAATCAGATCACACTGAGAACCATTTCAAATGCTGATTTCCTTAGAATCAAAATGGTGGCCATTTCAGATTCAGACAGGAATAATCCACAGATGAACAGAAATCTGTTTAATGAGTCATTGAAAACTATTTCCTGTGTCCATGCATGCTGTTTTTTTTAAATTTAAGAAAATGAAATTCCTTATTCTTAATTGTTGCATATTTTCATCCAGAATCCTGAGGCATAGTATGTGTAAGCATTCCAGATCAACAAGTGCTCAGCTTCATACTAAGAGTCTGTAGAGATTCTTAGTCATCCAGATCATGGTTGTCCCAAAGGTGCTTTTTCAGGAGGCAACTGGACTTTCTTGTTTTTTGTTTTTATTTTGAAGACGTTTCGTTTCTTATCCAAGAAGCTTCTTCAGCTATCCTGTCAGAGCTGAAAAAGCTTCTTGGATGAGAAATGAAATGTCTTCAAAAGAAAAGAAAAAAACCAAGAAAGTCCGCCTTTGTATCAGTTTCATACTCTTTAGCAACTAGGCTGTAAAGTACTCCTTTTCTGTACTAAATCTTTAGCATAGGTACAGTATAATTCCTATGGTCTAATAACTCTCA